GGGGCTCTGGCCTGAGAGGCAGCGGAGGGGTGCCAGCCCTCACCGCTCCCGGGGGTTCCTTCCTGCCGAGCCCCCCTGCCGGGACTCCAGGTGAGCAGAGCGCGTTTGCAGAAAGGCCGAGAAAATATGTCTTTTCTCAGCCTGCTGAGGACCTTGAACCAGTCTCGCCCCCCTCGAGGAATTTTATTAAAAGCATAGTAAGCGTAGATTGAGGTGAGCCATCGCAGCAGCTAAAATCGGGAGAGAGCCTTGGCAAGCGGAGACACTTGTTGATTACTCCCCCCGCTCGAAAGCCAGCCCGCGAGCCGCCGTTCTGGGCCCTTACGGAGTCCTGGCTTTAGGACGCACCTGCCCCAGGACGCGTCAGCACCCCCCTGCCCAGGGTTTTGGCAGGCGGTCCCAGAGGCGTCGGGTTGGAGGGATCATGTCTCACTTCACAGCAGTGAGGGCCCGAGCAGTGTCAGAGCGGTCCAAATGAAGAGACTGAGCAAAGCTCCAGAAACTGACAATGCAGATTCCATGGGATATTGCGTGCTGGAATGGTAGGTAGTCTCTGCCCCATGCTGCCTTGTTTTGGCTTCGAATAAATTGTCCATCCGAGAGCCTAATCTCTGGCTAAAGTTGAATGATTCCAGGGTGAAGTGAGACCAGACTGATTAGTTTATAGTAGTTACCCAAATGTGCGTTGAATACGTGAAAGGTTGAATAAACTTATTAAATTAATCTGGAGGCTAGAAAAACACTAATTATGCTTCTGAACTATCAGAAATAGTTCTCTGCCCAGGATTAAGCACTTAATTTTGTGTATTTTTCTTAATCCGAGGTGTAAAACAGTAAAATGATGAACACATGAGCTGCTCAAGTGAAAAGTGCTGTTAGGTCAAACTCAATTACGAAAAACAAAGTGAAAATCTCTGGGTGACAGCCGAAGACCTACTTACTTCAAGTGGTATTTGAGTTAAAAAAAAAAAAGTCATAAAACCCCAAGTTTGATGGGTCTTGTTTTTGTCTTCATACAGTCAAAATCAAAGTCATAATGGATTAGAACTTTTAAAACACAGCTCAGGGGAGAAGAAAGATGCTGTCTGTGTTATAGGTTTCCTGTCTTCTTTCCTCATCCCTGAGATATGCATTATGTACCCTCATGGCATTTTATTTGTTGATTGAAACAATTTTTTTGAGCGCCTTTTGTTATTCTGGCGAAGTGCTAGATCCCAGTACAATACCAGATCTTCAATATAACCAACCCTGTAAGGTGATTTACGGTAAACTTTTAATCATGGGATGTCACATACGAAAAGGGACCTCAGAAGTCACCAAATCCAACACCCTCTCTACAAATGAGACAGCTAGGCCTGGACAGGCCTTGACCTTGAATCAAGCAGTATGTTTGGTCTTAAGGTTTCCAAGAGGACTGAGATGTGATCCTTGCTCCCAATGTAGTAATTCAAGCGAAGGAGACAAAAATCTCAGTCCTGAGTGCTGTAATCAGCAGCTCAAGTGTAATGGGGAAAACGAAAGGGCCAAGTTAAAAGGATCGGAAAAGGCTTCTTACTGGGCTAATCCCTGAGCTGAGTCTTGAAGGATGAGTAGCAATACCCAAGCGAGGAAGAAGACGCAGTCATTCCAGATGCGGAGGGCGAACAGCATATGCAAGGACACGGGGCTGGAGAGAGCAGGGACTGCTGGGCTAGAGGTAGAGGCTGAATTATTAAAATACCCCAGGGACCTCAGTCCCCTTCCATTAGCTGCCCTTAGAGTTTATAGTAATAAAGCAGACTCTTAAATTGAGACAAGGGAAACATACTTCTCAGTGAGATCAATACATTCAAACCCCTTTATTGTGTAATTTCCTATCGATGTTCTTAGGAAAAGCTCTCAGCTTAAAGAGACTGAAAAAAAAATGTACTTGACAATACAGTCGTGCTTAAATTTACCAGTTTTCTGGGAATTCATCGGAGTCTTGGCTTCTCTCCATTTATTTCTTCACTGATTTAGCCTTTCCACCTTAACCATGTACTAACTAGTTCACATCTTCAAGGCATCTCTGCTGCAAGTCTGGTTGCCAGAGATAAGCTTATTTATGTTGTGCTGTGAAGTAGTCCGAGTATATCTGGTGGCTGTGCTCAAAGATAGGTGTTCACGGAAACACTTTTGTCCTGGAAACAAATTGCAACCCAAACAGGCAACTGTAAAACTTAGCCATTTTTGGAATGGGGAAAACTAAATCGATTTTATTTTGTTTCTAACCTTCCCTGATTGCCACATTTCTTTATAAGACTGAGCACTTGAACTGTTGAGCAAGTCCTGTGTGCTCATAAGTCTTAGCTAACAGGCTGGACCTAGGCAACATTTTGTTTTCACTGGAAGGTAGGATTTAGTTTCATTTAGCAAACGTTTATGGAGAATAAAAGGATAGAATGGAAGGAAGCTGACCTGAGGCCTCTGTTAAGCCCTAAGCCATGCATGGTAGTTCTAATCCAGCTTTATTCCACTTTAAATCAATCCAGTGTATAAATATCTGGGTTTATGGAAACACAATAGAACAGTCTTCTCTACAAAAACCGTCACTATTACAGGTCTTTGATTAATGAGCTTTTCTAGTACATTTAAAATAGTAATAGACAAAAGTCACATCCACACGTAACATTTCAGTTTCTGTTAAAAAAGGGACAGCCATGTATGGACTGTGGTCTTTTAAGTGATCCAAGAAACGAAAACTATTTGTTAAACGCCATACCACAACCAGCTGTTATTCTCTGAAGCAAAATTGTTCTTTTTAACCACCTACCCAAACATCTGAAGCTGGAGCCCAGTGAAGGTGTTTATTCATCAGTATGAAAAAAATTAAAGTGTCAGGTTTTTCTGGCTGGAGTCATTAAATTACCTGTGAAGAAGATGCCGAGAGGCAACTGCGTGTTTCATTTGTCGAGGAGCCGAGTGGGAGATGGCGGTTACCGGGGGACGCTGGTGGGTGTTGGCCTGTTCCTGGTGTCGCTGAGCCTCACTTGCCTTTCCCCCTCAGGCAGAAGCTGAGGAAGATTGTCATCCCGATGCTGTGAGAGCAGGAGATGATGATGAAACTGAGAGCCCGGCTGAGACAGATCTGCAGGCACGTTTCTCCACCTGTACATTTAGTTCTTCCGTTGCTCCCTTACCTAAGCTGGAGTCAGGTGTAGTGATGAAGACTTGGGGATTCTTATTTGCAACAAAGAATTTAACTGTGTCTCAGACCAGTTTGTAGAATATTTAAGTTATAACTATGTTACAGACTTCTTTTTCTGTAAAAAGAAGTGTCAGTAATTGCTGCTGTTTAATTCAATGTACAGGTTTTAAAGTGTTCAGACCAAGGCTTAAGCATGACTAAAAGCCATCACCTTAAAGAAAAAGAGTGACAGATTTGACCACCTAAAAGTTTCAAACTTATATATAGCAAAAGACATCCAAAATCAATAGAAATTATCAACTGGGAAAACTGGTAGCCACAGGTGGGCACAGAATTGATAGGTCTGATACAGATGTAACTCCCTGTAAAATTAGGGAGACCGTAAGATAGAAAGATAATGGAAAAAATTAATATAAATATTTGTTAAACATTTGAAGAGATAATTAACCTTACTAATAATTTTTTTTAATACAAATTAAATCTGCAAAGAATTTTTTTTTAAGTGATCAGATGAGTGAATAATGCCTGTGGCTCTGCAGGCCGTGAGAACATGCCTGCAGTGGACGTGGAAGTGCAAGTTGCTGCAACCCTTTTTGGAAGGAAGATTAGCATTTTTGATCAAAGTGAGAAACATAGCAGGGAAGGCACAGCTCAGTGGTAGAGCACATGTTTAGCATACACAGGGTCCTGAGTTCAATCCCTAGTCCTTCCATTAAAAAAATCCATAAAGATAAGACATTGGAAAAACAGCAAAAAAAAAAAATTAAGAAAGAAAGAAAAACATAACATTCCCTTTGAGCCAGCAATTCTGCTTCCAGGAAATTAATCCTAAGGAAGTAATGGGGGAAGTGAGAACGTGTACACGTTCAAGAATATTTATTGTAGCATTGTGTATGTGGGAAAATGGAGTACAATTCAGGTATCCATCCCCTGTATTAAGTAATGATGCGTCCATGCAGTGAAATACACCACAGCCGTTTAAAGGGATTGGGTCAACCTTTGTGCATCAAAGTAGAAAAATATTCATTACAATTAGTTAAGTGCATCTTCTGGAACTTACAAGCTTTATAATACTTGTGCCTTTGGAGTGCACCAGCCGGTGGACCTTAAGAGTGCTTCTAAAGAGCCGTCAGGTCAGAGGTGTGTGTGTGTGTTATGTGTTGGGGGTAGGAACATGGGTGTCAAAGTGTGTGCAGAATGTAGAGAAAAATTATTTTTAAAACTTTCATATTATATACTTGGGAAAAAAAAGGATGAATATACACAATCCAGTTACCAACGGCCTTCTTTGGAGGAAGGGCGTCCCAGGTTGGGTTCCCAGGAAGCAGACAGTGAGGGGGATGTCAGAGGTTTATTCAGCAGAGCTCCTGGGAGGGCTGCCGGAGGCGGCGGGGGTGGGGTGGGGTTGGCCTGCTCTGCTGTCTCAATGGACCACCTCAGTTAATCCCATGGAAGTTCTGAGGATGGAGTAGTAACCTTTGAGAGCCAGGCGGTTTTTGTTTTGTTTTTTTTAATTTTTTGTTGTTGGTTTTGTTTGTGTGGTTTTTTATGGGGGTAGTTAGGCTTATTTATTCATTTATTTATTTTATTATCGTTATTATTTTTTTAATGGAGGTACCAGGGCTTGAACCCAGGACCTCATGCACGCTAAGCACGGCATTCTTCCACCGAGCTATACTCTGTCCCGAGAGCTGGGCCTTTACCAGTCATTGGTCACTTTCATGGATGAGTCATTGAGTAGGGATCACCTGGGAGATGTGTTCCAAGTAAAGAAATGTTTGGAAGCATGCAAGTTCAGTCCCTATAGTTTCAATTATAGTTTCAATTCTAATTAAAATTGGATTTTCCCATCTCATTAGATTTCTCCTGTATAAGGAACCTTTAGGCAAATTTTCACCATTTCTTCAAAGCCTTAAGCAGAAAATTACCTTGGAAGGTAACACGGGTTTAATGGTATTGATTTAGTCATTTAAAAGAACATTTTCTTGTCCTAGAATATGCGTGTGTGAGGAAATCAGTGTGGGACTTATTGACACATTGTTCCGGAGTTGAGCGCCTGCGTGGTGAGTCCTAAAACACTTTTCTCCCCTTAGGCACAGCTCCAGATGTTCCGAGCTCAGTGGATGTTTGAACTTGCCCCAGGTGTAGGCTCGAGCAACTTGGAAACTCGGTCTTGTAGAGCAGCAAGAGGCTCTTTACTGAAAACAGCGGATACCAAAGGAAAGCAAGAGCTGGCAAAAGAAGAAAAGTTAAGTGTTACGGGTGTTGCACTTGGAACCAGCGTATCCGTCCTTCCTTGCTTCCTGTACCACTCCTTCTTTCTTGCAGGTGGACAGTCTGCCTGGAACTCTTTGGTAATTCACACACCCCTGAGAGTCACTTTGTCTCTAAAAGATAGATGCCTCTGAATTTATGAACAGAACTCCAAAAGGGGAAAAAATGTGTTCAAATGTTAACACCTTCCCAGAGGTCTTAATGCAGCATTTTGTTATATTTTGAGTGGAACAGATTTATGCAGTGATCATTTCATCATTGTGGAAGATTTTGAATGCTTTCTGATCTTTCACCGCTTTCCTGGTGCTTATTCACATAAAGTGCGTTGAGCCCACCGTTTCCATTTTTGTCACATTTGTCCCTCAGTGTCCAGGGATGCTCACATTCCTTGTATAAAGTGGTGTAGTTGTTTGCATGTGGCCACACACAGCCTCCCACATACTTTAAATCATCTCTAGATTACTTTTTTCCTCTTTTTCTAAAACAATACATTTTTATTGAAGTATAGTCATTTTACAATGTTGTGTCAATTTCTGGTGTACAGCACAATACTTCAGTCATATAGGAACATACCTATATTCGTTTTCATATTCTTTTTAACCATAAGTTACTATAAGATATTCATATAGTTCCATGTGCTATACAGTAGAAATTTGT